ACTGGTAGGTGTGGATTCAAAGCCTGCATCATAGCACCACACTGTTTTCAATACCTGGAAAACTAGTGTCAAATAGGCAAGATTCATCACAACAACAAAGCTAAGAGTACTAAAATACATGAAAATGTTCCTGTGTTTGTCAATCTGGGATATGATTTTTAGTAAATATTTTCTAAGTGTAAGTGCTATCATGGTACTATTTTTGTAGAAATATGTATGTTCATGTGTATATAAAATGTGTACTATGAAAAAGACAATGTGTGAGAGAGAGAGAGACAGAGAGAGAGAGAGAGAGAGGAGAGAGGAGAGGAGAAGGAGAAGAAGAGAGAGAGAAGGAGGGGAGAGGGATAGAGGACAAAGAATAAAATAGATTTTAAGGCATTTTTAAAATTTCCTTGTATTCATTTTGGATTACAATAACTTGAATGGGTCACCAAGGTACCACAACATAACTGCTGACTGCTATACTGAAGGGAGATTTATGAAGCTATATATCTCATCTCTGCCTCCTTTCCAATTTACTCAGTGGAAAATGCCATTGGCCTTCCAAAACCTTAACTTATGTTTGGACCCCTTCCATGTTCGAGTCTTATTCTTGTGTTGCTGACCATTAAAATGAATATTTCAGTAGGGCTGGAGCAGTCTTATTAGCCCAAGCCAAGCTTTAAATGGCTTGTGCATTTTAAGAGGTTAATCTACCCCGCCAGCTTGTTTTGTTCAGAAGTATTAAATGGAAAGGCTGTAAGATTCAAAGAAAGGCAAAGTTCACTGGGTAAGACCTCAATAACATAATGGTGTATAAAACCCCTAAATATTTTTACTGTAATGTTTTATGAAACATGCACATACTCACTGGAACAGAATCCAAATTAAATGGTTCTGAAGGTCATTTCTAAGTCACTACATATCCAGTATCTCTGTGAGAAATATGTACTATTTCAAAAGTGCAGGGACCCGGAAGCTTCCTTTCCCTACTTTATAATTCACTATCAGTCTAGCAGTGTACTACACAAGGGGAGAAAAAGTTACCTACTAAAGCTATAACATTTACTTGGCCAAGCATCAAGTTCATTAAACTATTCCAAATTTCCTATCAACACATCCTTCTGATAGAGAGCAAAAAGAACCACAGAGAATAATTCTAGAAGGAATAAGTGTAGGCATAAAATACAAAAATTTAAAACAATTATGTTATTCTCAATTTCAAAAACAATTATGTGAAGCCTTTGATTCTTATGAAAGAAGCAACAGACACCTATTAAAGTGAACTAGGAATGGCCATGATTAGAAGGAACTATTAGTATTATTCTGATGTGTCTCAGAGATCCAGATTTTTAGGTCAATGATGATTCTCCTACGGGGAAGGAAGTAAAGGTCCACTTTGCATGACAAAGGTCAGATTTCTGCAGGCAAAGGAGACTTCTGTAGTTGACTGTTCCTGGGCTGTCACTCACGGGGGGTGGTGCCTAAAGGTCAGGAGAGGTTCCAAATTGTGCTTACTGCTTAGGGGACACCCCAGGGCTACCTTAATCAACTTAAGGTCATTAGGAATTTCTCTCTCTGGTTCCAGTTTCATTCCTTTAAATCGAGCTAATACATATCAGTAATTCAGGGCTGCTGTTGACTTAACAAAAATTAAAAGCAGTATTAACAAAAGATAGAAAGAAGCCACTCATTTAATAATATTTTTAAGTCTAAAATTGAGTGCAGTCAAATTCACATAGACAACAGAGGTTGATAATCTGGCACCAATAGCAAAGCATGACTTTATAATAGCTGCCCTGGTACTTTTGCTATATAGGATGTATGATACTACTCTGGATTCATTTGAACATGATGTGGTTTGATACAAAAATTCCGTTAGCCAGTTTCTCCATTCACCACCTACATTTTATTATGGTAGAATTTTATTGTTTACTTTTTCTGTAATGACTTTTGAGTCACTGAAATATAACAAATGCTAAAGTAAAATATATTCTTTGAAAATATTTCAATGCTCTTCTATGCAAATATATGTCTAAATTATCTCACAATAGAATGGGCAATGTACCAAATGGATCATATTTCTAAGAGTTGGAAAAGTTCTGCCTATTTGTAATTAGTGAAGGTTATCTCTAAGTATTTTACACAGCATGTAGAAAACATCTGGATTTAATTATATCATACTTTCTTAGACAATGGGAATTGAATTAGGAATATTTTGAAACCCCGATAGAGATATTAAAGTATTAGCGACTGTTTAAGAACTTTATTGCTACAATGCTTAAAAATGTTTCATTTTACAGATCAACAGCCTGACACTTCATAAATATCAGATTTTCAATATAAAAGGAAGAAACTTGAAATACTGGGCACATATAGAAAATATATCACTGGAAAAGGCCAGGGATTTTCACTATTATAATATATTACATAAACATGTATAGAAAATGTCTTGCACATTTGCAGAGATTTGAATAAGGGTGTATAGCATACATCCTGGGCAGGATTTCTCTTTGAATTTTATTGTAGATTGAGAATTTCAGTAAGAATAAATTAACAGCTTGTTATTCATTCTTCACCGAGGAAAAACCTTAGCTGTTCTCATGGAAACAGTGGGACACAAAGTATGAGTTTTTAGTATTTATCCCTAAGTTTTAAAAAAGATCAGATTTTCTTTCTGGATGCTTACTGGTCCCAAACGTCACTTCTCAAATGGAGTATCAGCTCTGCGGTGAGATTTCAACCTCCCAGTGTTAAGAATATATTCAAGGCTGTGTGCCCAGCAGGAGAGAAGTCTTTCCCTGTAAATGTAACTATATCACTCATCGGTGACCTTCTGCCATAAGAGGATTCTGTATTTTCTTTCCTTTTAGGGACTACTTGGGCCCTGGAATGCCAGTCACTGCCCTGAGTGAGACCTGGGGCAGTATTCACATAACCCCTCTCAATAGCTCTTACACATGCCAGTGGTGTAACTAAATGTCAAGACTGTAGATCAAAGTCCCCACATTCTAAATCTCATGTCCTTTATGGATCAATTTTCATAAACTATATTCATGTTTTAGAAATAGATTGAGGCTCACTCTTGACTTTCTCCCTTCTATCCCAGAGAAGTTTATATGAAAGGCAATATGATTTGTGTATAATAGTGTGAAATTCTGATGCAGTGCATAAAACTCAGTCATTCTTGCTTTTGTATAAACTTCTATTGAAATATTTAACTATGCATATCATCTTAGAAATACAAAAATCTTTAGGCTATAAAAACAAAAAACACAGCCTGCTTTGTGATACCTAACCACTTTTTCCCAGCACCTGGTACAATATGAGGTAGACAGTGGTCATAAATTCTAATTCATGATTGATTTTATTTTTAAATCTTCATTATGCTACCCTTAAATTATATGACAGAAAATAGCTTCAGCATGTGTTTTTATAATCAATATCCATTTTAATTGCTCAAAATTTCTTAGAAAAATGAAGATAATTTGAAATTATTATCACTCAGTAGATTTTATATACAAATTACAGACATCTATACTTCTTCAAATAGACCTGAATAAAATTCAATAAAGTACACCATCTTCTATGAATACCTTTTCAGATAAGTTGTGGGTATAAAAAATTTAAATTGACAATTATCTCTAAAGAACTGTATTTGGCAAATACTGTAAGACTTAAGAGTACTCGATGCTACTTGTGATTACAATATATCTAGTTAATGTTTGTATATGTTTATTAAAGTGATAAAAGCATGTAATATATTAAATGTACAGATATCAGAGTACTCAAGAAGATGGGGAAAAAAGAACATGCCTTAGAGTTATTGGGCTGTTTACTAAATTCCAAACAAAGTTTATTGTGCTGATTTCCCTAAACAAATTGTAATACAACAATGAAGTATAATCAAAATATGCAGTGAATGTTTAAAACTTAAAAAACAATTCATTACGGTAAAGACATTTTGAAGTAATCCTTCTCAAAATATACCCTTTTGCTTCAAATGCACTTCTCCCATTGTTCTTGTCACCTTCTGAAGCAGCTGTGGAAGTCCTTTTTCTTCACTGTCTTTATGAAGTGTGATAAAAATATGGTAAATGTTACTGTTGAGTACTACCCAATGGAAAGCTCAGCTCATAAAAACATTAGTTGTCCTCATCCACCTAATTTAACAGATTGAGTATCAAGTGACTTCTGGCTCTTCCTGAAAGTCTAAATGACCATCAAATGTAAATGTACTGTATTTATTCAGGACACTGTGGTAGCGAGGATAGCACAACTGAAGACCCTCATGAAAGTACTTCCAGAACTGCTTCAGAAAGTGGCAAGAACAACAGTATGTGAAGTAAGGAGGAGTATTTTGAAGAGGATTAATAGCAAAGCGATTTTACCTTTTGTTAAAAAAAGTAGAAATTCACTGTATATTTGATCACATCTTATACACAGAATCATTAGGTCCATATCTTCACTCTGAGTTCTATAATCCTAGAAGGATTAGGCAAGTCACTCAATCAAGGGTTAGTGTCCACCTTCCCTGTTTTCACTATATAACCAACTAAAATTTAAGGTTTAAAAAATATTTTTTCAGGCAAGAAAAAGTTCATTATCTGTACTTTGTAGTCAGTGGTTGAAACCAAGAAGAGCAATATCTACTGGAGGAAACCAGAGGTCTTTATTAATGGAAAACAGTTACATTTTCTGAGAATCAAGTTTTTCCTTTATTCTACCCTTTATTGCTAATAGAAAATAATTTATCTAAAAGTCAAATGCAGTAAATTTTTTAAAAGGCACTTTAATTATAAAATGGATCAACTGATTAAGAAATAAGCAGGGAGTATGTTTGTGTGTGCGTATGTGTGTGCACGCTTGTGGATGTGTTTGTTTATGCTGGGGTGGGGGCAGGGCAGGTATAACATCTACAACTTAAAACCCTTGATTTTCCCCTTGAAAAGGAAGAATGAAACTACGGGTAGGTATATTATGGAAGAGCAAGTAGAGTTCTTGTTAAACGAGCTTACCAGTTTTTCGAAGAGGGAAATCATCCTTGGCATCCTGGGTTCCTGGTAATGTATATTTGTAGGATGGAGAAGTTCCACTAAGGGGTGGAGAGCTTTGATCCAATGATGTGTGGTGGGCAGCCCTACAAAAGCAAAGAAGGTTCATCACTGATGCTGCAGTTTTACAACATGTTGGTCAGCTATAATCAGTTGCACATGGTGTACACGTGCCTCGGCTGTGTTTATATTCTTTCTTCTTAGTGTATACAAACCACAGCCTCGTGTAACTAAGTTCACAGACTTCATTTTAAAAAATTTCTAGGTAGCACATTCAAGTACATGAGAATAGTTTGTTTACTGAAAAGACACCAAAAGTCTCAAGTGTCCTGATTTCTATAGAAGTTCCAAAGATGTGGAATGGAGATCACACTCTTCTTCAATATGAAACTATTAATTTTTTCTCTTTCCTGGGTGACTTACTGAAAAACATACAACTTTGCTACTGAACTGAACACCGACTACCCAGTAATATGAACATGTACAAATATGAAAAATAGTGAAAACAATCAACAGTGTATAGTATCACCAACACAATGATTTTTGTACTACTATTATTTATTTGAGTAATTCTCAAGAATAAACTAGTTTAACAGTATCTTATCTACTTATAATTAGCAAAAATAGAATTGAATTCAGATTCTATAAGTTAATGATTTATGATTACTTGAAATTCAATTCCATAAGTCATGGCTAATATACTCAAGAGAACACCTAAAGAATTTTTAACTGATAAATTATTTGCATTTAGTTGTTTTTCATTACAAAATTATATTATCTTTTTAAAAATGGGCTTTGAGGGCCAGGGATTTAGCTCAGTGGTTCCACTGCCTGCCTCACAAGTGCAAGGACCTGAGTTCTATCCCTGTTACCAGAAAAAAAAAGGCTTTGATGTCAAGGAATTATTAATTAGGTTAAATTATGAATGAAATTTTAAGTAACAAAATTTCAAAGTATTTTGTAAGATTGATTAAACATCTGAAAATCTTCAGAAGTTGGCTGCTCAAGTTAAAAAACATGCATGACAGAAATTAAATTGTTAAAATATATAAAACATTTCGGAATCTGCCTAATACCTTTTTGTTAAGGCAGAAAATGGCAGATATCTGTAAAATAGACTTATAAATACAGTAACAATTTAAAAAAAACTCCTGGGATGCTTCCAGTTTCCATATAATAATCAAGTATTTGTTCCTTTCCTGGATGATATGAAGGATTAAAAAATACATTCATGGAAAAATCTTCTAGTCATTCAGAAATCACAATCATGAGAGAAATGGAACCATTATCTATTAACCTATAATCCAAATATGATTTGCCTATCAGTTCTTTGCTCTGGCTTTTCAAAATACCAGACCTTCATATTTTATAGAAATGGGAATTATATACCACATAATATCTCTTTAGTGGACTGGGTAAGTCAGGATCCTATAAACACAGTAATATCACATTGTATCATGTTGTCAACCTGTGTGTTAGAAGCCAAACTACTATTTACTGGTTAGGAAGAAATTGAATACTCGGTAGGAGTAAACTAGTCCCTGAAGACTTAGGTTTGTTTATTTTAGCTACTCCCTTTCTCTTCTCTTCCTTTCCCTATCTTAAGTCCCTTTGCTCCTTCTTTTAATTTTTTAATTGAGTAAAAATCATTTGGACTTCTAAAAATAGCTCTAACTTCCATTTTATATCAAGCCAAGTAAAATAAAATCAAATCACAATCTGCCAAACATTTAGAAATTATGTATAGATATCACATGTACCATCTGAGAATAGAAAAATGCAAAATACAAATTAATTTCTATGCTCTAACTCATGTGTGAGTTACCCATTCGACAATGAACATATATATTTCCTTGTCCTCAAGATGTTAACATGCTGGGCTAGGGATGTAGCTCAGCATTAGAGCCCTTGCCCAACAAGTGAGAGGTGCTGGGTTCAATCCCTAGTAACCCTTAAAAAAAAAGATGATCAATGTTTTATTAATCACTGAGCTCTTTACATCATGTATAAGATTATTTTATAGGGCCTTCCAACAACCTTACAAGGCAGGTACTATTACTAGCCTCTTGAAGTGGAGAAGGAAATGGATCTTTGGAGAATTCAAGGAACTTGCCCACAGCGACACAGCTGAGAAATGACATTCTTGGGATCTGCACCCAAGTTGGCTAATTACAGAACCCATGTTCTTTAACCTTGAGAATAAAAAGCCAAACACCGAACATACGTGTACCAGAGCTTGGGATGGCGGCTCACGGAATGATTTTTTCCATTAGTTGGAGTGTCTTTCGTTGCTGATTTACTCAACAGGAATTCTTGAAGCTTCTGCTTTACTTCAGTACTTGCCACTGCCCCTGAAACACACACACACACAGAAACAGACGTTGACTATGAGTTGTGTGCTCTTACACCTCTAGAATATCTAACAATGATTAAGAAGTAACATCACTGGTCACGGCACATGTAGTTTTCCTATTAAAAAAAAGAAAGAATCTAAATAGACTTTAGAAAATGGCATTGTGATACTTTGTAACTATTACTTAAACTGCCAATTTTTAAAAGACCTGCAATGAGTTCTTTAATTGCTTTTACAGAAAGGGGATTCCCAGCTTATTAATGTCATTTCAAGATTAAAAAATACTGCTGAGGAACAAAATATTGCATATTTTAAAAATCAGGAATCTTGGGGGAACTAAATTAGATCCCTTAAATATATTAAAAAAATCTTTTCTGAGTTTCTAGATTAAAAATGCAACATTTAAAATGAACCCTTTGAACATTAAACAAATAAATACTGCTGACAAGTTCAGTTCAAGTCATCAAATTTTAAACTTTGCTGCAACCTGAGTTTGAACTGGCCTAAGACAGTGGAATTATTTGGGTCTGTCTCCCTCTTGTGGATGCTTCTTTTACAAGTGTTCTGTCTTCAATCTTCCCAAAGTCTGAGTATGCAGGAACTAAATGGAGGCAAGGCATGACTTACAGACTAGTTATTACTTGGGCAAGAGGAAAGAAAGCATATTTAGGAGATGTGGGCATAACTTTATTATTAAACAAGATAGTTTACACTAGATTGCTTTGTATGACATCATTTTTTTAGGTCCAAATGAACAAAAATTCACATCTTTGTTAATACTGTTTATGTCTTTGGATGCTTGCAGACTGAGTAAAGACAGCGGATATGCAAATGTAAGATCATTACATTTGAGTCTATAATTTATTATTTTAATTAAACACAGACAGTTTTTGACAACTTTAATTCCACTCATTCTCAGGCTTCTTTCTGAATGATGATCAGCTAAAGATGAGGGGAGAGAGTCCATCTTTTACCCTGGTGCCTCTTACTTTCTCGTCCTCTATCTTTGCCTCTGAGAGGAGGAAGCTGCTGTTCTCTGCGATGCCTCTCTACTTCCTGTTCTTGCCTCTGCTGCTCCAGTTTCTGCTCCTTTTCTAGGAGTTCTTGTTGCTGTTTTATGGCTAGAAGTTCCTGTTGCAACTTGCGAGAAGAGAAAGACATGAGAGTGTGCAATTTCTTTAAGCTTCATAGTTATCACTGACTGACCAAAATTGAAATGTTAGGAGCTTTTGGAACTTGTTTGTATTTAGTTTATATTTCTGACCCACTTTTTAAAAAATTATTGAAATCTGAAGACAAGCAATTCATGTCAAGATGGCCTCAGTATCATCAACAAGGTAGTTTTTTAGGAAACTATGTTTCTTGTACCTTACTAGCAAAAATAATTAATAAATCCATTTAGATCTTATAGTTTCTGCTATTAAACTTTTAATTCTCTTAGTAACTTCCCTTGATACATTCAAAATATATGAACAGGCAAATGCAGGCACTGCCCAGAAGTCTAGTCTATAAAGTCTCTCATATTATAAATAAACAACTGAGATTTTCCATTGTTACCCTGATAAATGGTGTGAAAATTATCAAGGTGAATAGAACGGTGAGATATGAGTGAATCTGGGGTAAGTCTACCTGAAATAGAATGAAGGCTAAAAATGTCAAAATCTTATAAAGTTTTCAATAGTGTTAGGCAAGTTACACATCTATAGTAGGTTCTTCTTTTAAAATAGCATAAATCTTTCATCTTTTATCTAATACATGAAAACTTCAAGAGACAATGGTTAAAATGAAATCATTTACATAAAACTACACTCTAATGCACAACTGTTTAGGTTTCTGAATTCCTTGAATTCTCCTCTAAAGCTTGGTAGCTATTCTGAGATGTCAGTTTCCTTCCAGAGAAATATATATATACCTATATATGTATATATATACACCTATATATATTATACAGGTGTATATATATACCTATATATATGTATATATAGGTATATATATACATATATATATATAATAGTAAATGTGTCCACTGAGCAATAGCTAAAGATTGTTCAATCTACATAGCCTCTGACATTACTATATATGAGATCTGGACAAGTCACTAAACTACTCGGAGCACTGGTTCCTCATAGGTATGAAAAAGAATAATCTCCCTCACATAACATATTTCTAATGCATAAAAAAATTCATTTTATGTTTGAACCATACTTATTTCTTATTATTATTTAAAACAGTCCTACTAATGAAAACATACTTTGCTCCTTTATATTAGATAGGTACCTAAAATTCTGAATTTTATACCAAATAATAACAGAAACAAAAATAAAAATCTATAAGGAATGACATCAGGGTCACTCTGGAGCAAGAGGAAGGCACCCCTGTTTGGCAACCATGATAGCCTTCCCACTCCAAAGGATATGGTTAGAAACATTTCTGGTTACCCTTCATTTTAAAATCCTTGGCATTTTGGCTGATATATCAGTCCCTTATAAAACATCTAAAATAAGAGTACATAACTCTGCTTAAATTGTTTTAGTATGAATTCTATACAGATTTGATCCTTCACCCAAAGATTCAATCCAATTGAATTTTAATCTCTCTTAGAAACCTAGAAAAGCATATGACTTAATTACCATAGCTACTATTCTTACAAACATTGCAGGAACGAGTATTAAAAAAAAGAAAGAAAACTTCACCCCTCTATTTCCAGATGTTCTGGACCATAAGCGAGGCAGGGTGATTTAGGAGCTTTGAAGAAAAGCAAAGCAAGACTACAAATCCTGGAGCAACTACTTACTGGCTGTGCAGCTTTGGAAAGTTACATTATTTCTTCTTCCTCAGTTTACTATGTGGAAAAATGGCATAACAACATCTAATGAGCCGGGGATTTAGCTCAGTGGTTCTGCCACCTGCCTCAGAAGCCCAAGGTCCCAAGTTTGATGCCCAAGGTCCCAAGTTTTATCCCCAGTACCAAAAACAAAAACAACAACAACATCTAATTCAGCAGATGGCAATTGCTGAAGAAGTCAAAGATCCAAAAAGCTAAGTAGTTATCATGCACTGTCTTCCTCATATAAAATCTAATGGTATGTTAAAGGCATCAACTTTTAGCCTTACCCATAAAAAAGTAAAACAAAAAAAATAAATAGTTAAAAGAGAAAATAACTTCCTAATTTAAAGGGAAAATTTAAATACTTCAATTTCTGAGAAAATAACATTACTTTGGACAGTCAATTTAAAAGCTAAATTTTCTTTTTATCTCATAATCCTTATTCTCTTCAGAGCCTCTTTTCTAACATTTTCCAGATGTCAATAAATCCATTTTATCATTTTGTGTCGTAGAAAGTGTTATCTACTTGCTACAATTAGCTTTTTAGTGAAATCAAATATGTTAACTTCTAAAAAATATATATTAATCATGTAGCTATGCACCAAGAATAAGTTAATACTGCTAATAACTTAGCAGCATTGCTCTGTACTCAAGAAAATATGACTCACATATAGAACTACATAGTTCCTTATGGTAAAGTATATAGATTTTACTTATACATCATTGCCATTCTAACATGCGCCTGGGAAGACTGATGTAAAAGATCTCGATATGAATATTCCTATTACTGTTTCAAAGGTTAAACTAAAATAGTGCCTCAACATGCATTAAAAGATAAGTCTATAAAAAACTGAAGTGTACTTCAAAATATATCTGTGAGCTACTGATTTCAGAAAAGACGCAAAAGAAAATTCTCACTCTTCTTTTTTAAGGTATCTCAGATCAATAATACAAGTATAATAAGAGCTCTTAATATAGATTGTTTTAAAAATATTTTCTTTATTAATATCTACTTGTATCACATTGAAATAAAGTTTCTCCAAACCAAAGAAAAGAGTTCTTTTAGTAAAATTCAGTAGTAAAATAAAAACATATTTTATATTACATATTGAGAAATTATATTTTATATCAGGTTGATTTTAGGAAATTAAGATTATATAGGCCTTCTTGGCTAAGGAAATATTTTGTAAAACATAAAACATAGGGATGAAGATAGAATTTTTATCTTCTGAGGTTCTGTAATATTAATGTGGTAAAATTATAGGATATTAGCAAAGACTAATTATCTATATCAACCCCACATCAGTGTGTTTGTACTTGATACCCAAGAAATAAACTACCTAGAAAGCAGTCTAATAAAATATGACATAGACATAATTTATTATACTAAACTGTCATATATTTAAGTTATAGTTATTGGAGTTGGATATAAAAATTTTACTGTAAATATGTGCTGTATTTCTTACTGTCATAATCAAATTAAATAACTAATAAATCTTGAAGATCTTTGATTTTAAATATCTCAAATAGTTGAAAAATTCATAAACAAAACTGTTTTTCTATGAAGAAGATACAAAAGAAGAAATACACACATGTCTACAATAATCTAATAATAAATGGTACATCATTTAAAAATGCTGGGATATATATATTTTTTTTCTCCCAAAATAATTTAAATAACTCCAATCTTAAATTTTCAACTACTCTCAAAATCATTTCCATAAATTCTTATCTACAATCTATAAAAATATTTGTGTCAGCTTCTCCCAAAAAAACACCTTTCAGCTTTTTATGCTATTATTATTATTATTATTATTATTATTATTATTATTATTATTATTTTGTACCAGGGATCGAATTCAGGACCTTGCACTTGCGAGGCAGGCGGCAGCACCACTGAGCTAAATCCCCGGTCTTTTATGCTATTATTTTGAAAATACACATCATCAGATTTTTTTTTTTTTTGTAAGGAAGATTAGGACATATTCAGAGCATCTACTTGTTGACCACACATTAAAAGAAAACAAACAAAAAACAGAAGAAGGCTATTTCTGTTTATATTAGATGACTAATTTATCCTTTCTGATAAGTAAGATATGCAGATTCCTTAGAAAGTTAAAATGCGCCTTTCCAGGCTCATGGTTTTTGGTGGCGAGAAGACGGGGCAAAGGAACACACAGAAGAGAATCTACATGAATGGGAAGCTACAGTATTATTCCATTCTCGTGATTCTGTAGCTAAAGGATGAAAGTGGTAGAGGCTTCTCTAAGAAGCAAAGTAATGTTTAGCAGGTACTTACCCCAATTCCCACTAGTAAAATCACAATTCCCTCCAAGCCATACATCTATGTCTTAATCACAGTGCAACTTGCCCGTTAGTGCTCCCACAGGAATGTCTCATGCCCATATCATGGTGCAAACGCCCAGACTACAAAGGTCAGAGACAAAGAAATATTTGCTACCTTGATGTGCTCCTGAAGTTGAGCCTGGTGCTGCCGTGTCAAGTTCTCGTGCTGTTTCTGAAACTCTGCTATCAGGAGCTGCTTCTGGATTTGTTGCTGCTGCTGGATAAGAAGTAACTCTTGCTGCAGCTGCTTCTCACGGATGACAGGGTCCACCACTGGCATCATCATCCTGAGGTCAGTCCTTAGGTCTAAGGGGGAGATGGGCTCCAGGCCCACAGGAACCTCTGACTTCACATCCACTGAAAACCAGGAAAAAGAAAGAGGGTGGGGGAATGGAAGATTGGAAACATTAGCACATAGGTATGAAAACAAACAAAAAATAAAAGATACCAGGCCCTATTCAACAAATCTTATGTCCATGATTCTAATATATAATTTCTTTTTTGGTACTGGAGATAGAACGCGGGACCCTGCGCTTGTGAGGCAAGTGTCGGCACCACTGAGCTAAATCCCCGGCCCTGTAATTTCTTTATAATGATGATTGAAAGTCTTTGTAAATCAGTTTTGATAAATGGTCATGTGCTGATTTTCACTCAGCAATTCATACTTTGACCAGGAATCTTTACATTTCCCCCTTTCAAAGAGATGAGTGCAATTATTCATTGGTATCAAAGTTATTCATAAGACTCATTCAACTGGATCCTTTACAAAAATTAAGTCAACTTGAGACCAAGAAATGGGACACTATTTAAGGGGAAAATGCCATATGCAAGAGAAGTACAATAGCCTAAATCTGTGAAAGTACTAACATTTTTTAATAATCAAAATCAGAAGTCATATTTTACTTTAAAAAAGTAAAACATATAATGTAATGTATTTGCAGGGGTATCGGACCTAGCAAAGAAAAGATACAAATCGTAAACCCTGGGGAAATGGTGACTAACCAAAACAATGATGCCAAATCCATGCACCAAGGAGGGAAAGTAGCCAACTTTTTAAGTGCTGGTTTTTAAACAGTAATCAATTGTATCTCAGTAACCTCATTCCTAAAATAAACAAGGCAGATATAGTATGAGGAAACTTAAAGTAAGAATTTAATCTAGCCATTGAGGGAAGAAAGATTTGAGGATTTGAAAATAACTATGGAATATTATATTAAAATTTATAAAAATTGAATTAGATATTGTATATAAAATGTTTAGTACAACTTCAAGCAGACAAGAATGCTGCTTCTGAAATGAATAGTTTAAGTAGGAAAGCTCACAGACAGGGTAGATATCCATATATACTAGTTGTTTAGGGCTGGTGTCCATTCTGATTGACCAGTATCTACGTCAAATAAGTTTTTAAATATTTTGAGTATACCTCTATGCATGGCAATCAGGAAAGTTTTATAATTAAATGAAACACATTCAGTTAAAGGCAATAGGGATTTTTCAAGGGAAACTGGATTATATGGGTCTCCCAAGGAAGTAAGCCACTACTCAGATCTAAACAATTATTGGTGGAGTAAAAAATTCAGACCGTAGCAAAGATAGAAATTACCAAATTATTTACTGAAAATTTATGTGAAAGACCTAAACATTCTGGGAACCAAACAGAGTGATCCTGTAAGTCAACTCTGACATGAAGGCTGCCAGTTTTTAAGCTCTGCTCTAATATCTAAATGTCTCATCCCATTCTTCTACCTGAACAACACTGAGGATGTTATTGACTCCACTAGGCCTCAGTTCTCTCCCTGTGAAATGGAAATAATTACAATATCAGCAACAATAAAGGTATTAAAAGGTTCAAGTGAGATCACTCATTCAATGTACTAACAGACCAGAGCACATCCCTCATTTAAAGCTTTGTTGTGTTTTTTTATATAAAAATGGAAGCTTTCAGGTCCAGGGATTTACCTCAGTGGTACCGCACCTGCCTCGCAAGTGCAAGGTCCCGAGTTCGATCCCCAGTACTGAAAAAAAAAGGAAGATATATATATATTTTGTTTGTTTGTTTGTTTGTTTTGTATTGTTTTGTTTTTTCTGAAAAAATGGAAGTTTTATATATATATATATATATATATTTATTTTTTTTTTGGTACTAGGGATCGAACTCGGGACCTTGTACTTGCGAGGGAGGTGCGGTACCACTGAGCTAAATCCCTGGTCCTCTTTCTATATATTTAAATAAATGATCAATGATGGGTGGCTAAGAAAAATATATGGAGCAAATATGAAAATAAAATGGTGTATGATTTCTACTAAATATTAGAAAATAAAAAGCAGCAAAACATTTAGAAAAATAAAAGATACAACTCAACAACTGAAAATCACCTTCACTAATAAAGAGATGCAAATCATAAAGTGAAACACATTAGTATCTATTTATATTGCATATATAATTCCTGTCTATACATATTTCTGTGTGCAAATGGCCCACTGTAGAGAGTCAGTACATGACCAAATTATTTATTGCTAGTGGCACTGCCAATTGGTATAAAACTTCCACAAAATCAACTCTGTCACACATATCAAGATGTGTTAAATATTTCTGCCATCTGATTCATATTTTACAACTCTAGAAATATATCTTACAGAGACTATATTAATGGAGAAAAAACAGTTCAGTGTCATGTCGTTTATTGGACTACTATTTGTACTATAATTGAAATCACCAACTATAAGGAAATGTCTAAGTAAAATATGTCACATCCATTTGTTAGAAAAATATGCAATCTCCAAAAATAATATTTATGAAACATTAAAAATGCTATTATAACATTAAGTGAAAAAAGTAATAAATGTGACATTTATGTTATCATAATAATTTAAAATACCTAAGTATAATTAATTTTGTCAATATACATTTGTTGAGTCCCTTAAAATCTCAGGCTTCATTCTCCATGTTGGAGTTTAGTAGTTTGTTTTTTTGTTTTAAGATAAAAATCTCAACCCTAACTAAGCACATATTATCCTTAGCTTTTTAATCATACCAGTCTGTGAATTCTATAGCAAAAGCTAGTGATATAGAGAAGAGTACAATCTGGATGAAAATATGAATGATTCTCCCCCTTCTACTTTTCTATATTCTTCAAAATTGCAACTAACATTCTGACTACTGCAAGCATCTTAGATTTGGAGATTCCAGGTTGGTGACTACAAAGTTAATATTCCATGTGGTTTTAAATATATTTTCTGTGAGTTACAAAAGTATAACAGAAATCCTGTCTATAGATGTTAAGGCTTCAAATACTAAAGCATTAAATGTCTTTGCATGTCATCTGCATTGTATGTTCATGTGCACACAGAACTTTAAAAACACAGGTTATTTTTCAATACACTGATTAGAAATTTGCACTGATGGTATTTCATGTGACACTGTAATGAAAATGGGAAAATAATTCATTAACAAACTACAGTTTGATAGTGTCTTTTAAAAACATGATATTTGTGAAATGAAAGAATTTAATTGTGACAATATTGAAAGCAAACGTGAATGATGCCCTCTAAGATTTCTTACTGCAATGCCCAATGCGGACTTCCAGGCCAGACTTCGGAACACTGGAGTAACATGAGACTTAGAGCCCTAACTTAAAGAGTTGGCATAATTCCAACAAAAAGCCATGGTTGTTAATGATATATTTCATTTTTACACTATTAAGGCCAAACTACTGCCTTCAAGTTTTACGTGGAAATCCCAGTAAACAAAAGTCAGAATTTAACCCTATAAAGACAAATGTGAAAATTTAGAAGACCCCTGGGTCTCTTCTTGTGGGCATTCCTATTATCCACAAACTACAAACATGAAACCCTTAAAATTAAAAAAATAGAAGATGAGAAAAAAATCCCACAACTCTCTGAAACAGTTACTGTAAACCTCAAAGGATAATTTGACTTCTTACCCTGCTATCCCAACAGAAATGATTGTGTCTAACTGCTTGCCTTTGTTCAGAGACTAATCACTAAATTGTGAAAAATCACCCTCAACTTACAAAAACTGCTCTTGATTATAAATAATTGCCCAAGACTGAAAGAAAGCGGCAGGCAAGATCCCAGTCTTTCATCCAATTTATTCAGCAGCAATCCACATTCCATTTGTCTAGACTAAATATAGCAGCGTTTATACAAGAAATCAATAGTGCTTGCAGAGAGGAGAGCAAAGGCATGAATATTTCATCAAACTCAGAAAGAAATGGCAATCAGCAAACTGATGGCTCAGTATAGGTCATCTTTGGCCTGCTGGACTGGTTCCTGTTATTTGGACAATAGTTCATCTCTGCCTAATCATAATCATATCATAGCTGTTCTTTCTATTTTTAGCACTAATTGCATTGTGGGTGACAAAGGCTCATCCTCTTCCAAAAGGAATGTTGGGTTTTTCTTACATCTTTTGTGACAGGCTAACAAGCCTCCCGAGAAGCAATAACGGTAACACGATACAAGGGCTTCAACGAGTTACAGTCACTTTCAAATCACACAGTGTGAAAGAAAGGCATTGTCTATATCTTCTATGTATCATAATTAGAAATAATCAATTTTAAAAGGAAAAATTAACTATGAGTCTTAACAGTAGGTAAAAGGAGTCATCTCTGTTCACAAAATTCCTTGTTTGAGAACATGGAAAATTCCTCACAAATTTCTCAGGATAGGTGGTTAATGATATATATGTTAGAAGAAAGTTGATGGCAACAAATACAGCATTATTTGACATAATTATTATTATACATTATTATTATTTGACATTATATGACAATCACATCATATTTTTCACAGGTTTCAAAACTTCATGGCATGCGATAAAAACAGGGAATAACTAACTTTATTAGGACTTGCCTTATTTGTCTGAGATTACAAATACATGAAAATATTACTGTATATTCTTTTTGGGTTTTTTGATACCAGAGATCAAACTCGAGTCTTTGCGCTTGCGAGGCAGGTGGAGGAACCACTGAGCCAAATCCCCTGCTCTTATTGTATATTCTTTTCATTATCATGTTCCAAATGTCCAGTCAGAACATTTCTACATGTATAGCAATTTGTCTTAATTATCACTCTACAAAGTTTTGTTCATTCAGTTTTCACAGCATTTATTTCTTTGACAGTTACACCTTACTGTTTAACATTTCTCAACTGATGAGATTTTATTAACAGTTTTTAGTTTTTAATAAACTTGCATTTGGAAAAGCTCCCATTTCAAAATCAAAACAAAATTCCAGGTCATATAGATGTTTACAATAGTTATATTTATTTAAGTAACATGTTCAGTTTAAATAAATTTCTGTGAGAAATATGTCTCTTTTTAACTCTTAAGGCCG